TTTTTTAACTTGGGTGCTGAAGAACCATGTTGGTGTATCCTTGAGGGGTTTTTGTTTTGGTCATTTGCTCTTTTATTTTGGGGTGTTTTTTACATCTGGGCATAGAGGCTTGAATGAAGTCACACCTGAATACCTTCTGTTTGTTGCTATGTGCTCTTTCCAAAAAGATAGTTACTCAAGGATAAATTTTAAGTTACCATACCTTTTTTTATACACACTGTTTCTGTTTGCTTCATGTGGTTGTTGGTGAGACCTGCAAATACTAACACTTAGCAGTGGTTCTAGTCCTTATGAGTTAGAAGCAGTAGTGCAATTTCTTTTTGATAGCAATTATGAAATAATGGTGAACTAACCTGCCACAGGCAGTTATTAAGCTTCCCAAGAACATTAACTATGCAGTTAATTATGTAATTAATTACATAACTACTTCTAGGAATAAAGGGAGTGTACCACAGTCCTTAATCAGCTGCAGATTAGCTGGATGGGTGAAAGACAAGCAATTCAGTTTTCACATTCCTCAAAAACATGAGAACAGTCCAGAAGCATATCTGTCATCTTTTCCAATAAATCAAGAGAACCTCTCAAAAGCTGCAATTAATTCATGTAACGACAGTGGAGGAACAACATATGAGTCATTGAATAATACATCCATTGTGAAGAATGGAGTCATTCCAGGTATAGTGAAATGCTATTTGAATGCAGAGTGTTAACTCCTCAGAAGACCTGTAGGTTTGTTTGAGAAGACTTGCCTGGGCAATTGTGGTAACAGAATTTATTATAATCTGTTTACTACAGAAGAAATTAATTCTCAAAATACAAATTTGTCAAGGGCAAAAGAAAACCTTTCTTTGGTGAAAGAGGAGAATCTACATAATGGAGAAAACGAGCAAAGAGAAGATGTGGAACAACCAATAAGGCATGTCAGTGTTACTGGAGAAATTGTCATACCACCAGGTGGAAGAACATTCATAGTGATCATATGTACAGCTGTGTAAGTATTTCTTTCCATTGGTTCTGACAAACACAATGGAAACAAGTAATAGAAATTGACTTAACAGTTTCTTTATTCTGGGTACAGTTCTCTTTTTGGTGTAAGATAAAGTAAGCCAGCACGTATTAGCAAATGATGGGGAAACCTATGTTAGACCTCAAAAGAAGTTAACATTTTAGTGCTTGATTCTGATTTTTGTCGAAAGGAAATGGTAGTAGTAAATGAAGAAATATAGTGGGAGTATATAACTTCTCTAAAAAAACACAATAAGGTGAAGACAATGCATAGAGCTGGCTATATTCTTTTTAGGAAACCCATTGCTCCATGAGCACTAGAGTTAATGTAGATTTCCTAGGAATTTTTGTGTTATGTCTAATATGTTTCTTCCAGTCTTGGTACCCCTTCATCACATTCATGTTGCTCCATGCCTCGATCTTAAGCTTACCTGTCCTGTGATATGACATGCAGGTTATGTATGCTGAAATAAAAAAGGAAAAAAGCTTTCTTCCTTGAAGGTGTAATTTATAGAGTAAGTGGTTTGCAGATCTTAGAAAACACTTGAAAACAAAAATACTTTGCTGTACAAAATATTCTGTGGATTTAGTTAAGAATAAAAAGTGGCTTTGTGTGAGCTCTTTCAGAATTCAAGTAGAAGCCTCATGCTAGAAAGCTTACCCTCATGTACTTCGCTGTTTCTTCCAGCTGTAGCTCTGCAAACATTATGTACCACCACCATTGATTCTTATGGTCATAGTTTAAAAGTTGGACAGGAAAAACAAGGTCAAGTGGTTTCAGTCATCAAAGTAACACTGCATTAACTTTCACACTGCTTCTGTTACCGTTTCAAATAGTGAAGCGAGGGGTTTGAAGTTTTCTTAGGAGGATGATTTAGCTGCAATTTGAAAGATAAGCTGCAGGTGTAGCCTGCCTTTATGGAGAAAGACACGTGTAGAAAGAACAATTTATATTTCACTGTAGATCTGTAAATGCCACAAAGTCTGGGTATCTTCTAATAATACAGAACAATCCACACGTAAACTCCATGGGAGGCTGCAGCATGACGGTGGCAAGTGGCCACTTAAGACACCATAGAGACTGCAGATTTAGACCATAAATCTGGACAGTTCAGTGTCTGCAATGAGTTAATGTATCAGAGAAAAGCAGCTTTAACCTGAGCAGGTACTGTTAGTTGGCATGAAAAAGTGCTACTCCTGCCAAAGAGAAAGTAAGCTGGAATCCTTCTGGGATGCTTTTATTTCAGGCACGTAGCAACAGTGTTAGACCGTGTTGTTAGTGCTGAGAAGAGAACTGGGCTCTGGGTAGTGCTGGTATGAGTTCACTAAGGGATTTCAGAGCACATGGTGTGTGTTAGATCTTTTGTCTTAAGTTCTTTAGAAACCAATATGAAGAAACTATTCCCTCTAAGCTCTCCCGCTCTGTCACTCTCCAAGTACTGCTTACACATATAGAGTGCGTTTTTCAGAAATAAAGGATCTTTCCTACTTTCTTCACTTGATGTGTTTACGGTTAGGGTTCAGTTCTGAGTAGCCTTAAGCAAGGTATAGTAAAGCTGTTGCTGGAAATAGTGAAGGTATTCAAGTTCCTCTGGTGGAAATGTTTGGCTAATCTTTTTCAGTAACAGAAATTCCAAGATGTTCCTTGTGACAGAAGTGTTAATTCTGCACCTAGTATTTTGAGGGGAAGGATTTTGCTCTATACTTTTTTTAAATTTAATTATTTGTGATACCTGGATTGAACTCAGGGTAGGGAGTTAAGTGTGAGGAATTACCCTAACTTAGCAGTTCTCATGTTACTGAAATGAGAATCTACAATTTGATTTTAAAAAATATTTATGGCTTGGAGAAATAAAGTGTGAACATGATTTTAAGAACACAACTTCTGCTTACTTGAAGAAATCCTGGATACAGTAAAGAACTCCTGTTGCTTGGTTTTTCTGATTTCACTGTTGGACGCTATATTGAAGCCACTGTTACCAGTGAAGAAGAACTACTAATAGCACCTGTGGAACCATTTTCGCCAAGAAATCGTAAAGTTATTCCTGAACCTCAGCTGAGGAAGACAACAGTGCTTGCCCCTACATGCAGGTACTGTGAATTAGATGAAAAAATAACACGTTATCTAATACTGCTCTATTTGTTATTGCTTTATCTATTCTCTTAATGCTGACAAAGAAAATGTGAAAATGGGAGGGTCTGTACATGTTTATATATGTGTGTTTTAAACGAGATAATTGTGGACATTACTAGAACAACCTCTTCTATCAGTAACAAACTGCTTGATTTCTCTGGAGGTATGTCAAACAGGAGCTCTTTCACTACATGATGTGGTGATAAACAAGATAGTTTATCACCACATAATAATAACAACACAGTTCTTACTTGTAGACTACTAAGAAAAAGATGGGAAATCATGAATACTTTCCTGAGAGAGTTAGCTTCTTAACTCCTCAAGCAACTTTGACATCTGTATCCGATGTTTTCCATCTTTCATTCAGAACTTTTCCTTTTGCAAATATGCTTCCATTATACTTACAGTATTTGCTTAATTATAAAAATATCCCTAAGAAAAAGCAGACACACAGTGTTTTCAAATAATCTGTAACTGGCACACTTACTTTCTTCCCAGTATAGCAAACTTCTAAATTGTCACTTTGAACAAATCATTGGGTCTGGTGTGTGTGTGTGTGGGTATTTTGGATTTATAGCCTTGATGATGTGGCATGTTAATTAGCTGGCTTTCACATATAATTTGAGAAAGCTAAAAAAATGCTATACATTTTTGTTTTAGAAGTCACAGAAGGCAGTTGCCAAGTTTTCTACCTCATTATACCATACCAGATGAGTTAAGAAAATGTGTGGACCAGAAGTTAGACATACTGACCTTTCAGCCTCTCCTAGCAGAGGTATGCAAGTGTGGGTTTATATAAGGAAATATATTTTATGTAAGTGTGTTAGTTCAAGCTGGGCTCGGTTTAGCAAAAATGTGTACGCCTTAGTGTAATACAAGATGTAATACTGTAACAAGTAGACTTAAGACTTTAGTTTGTATCCCATAACTTCCAGTGTTACTTAGATTGTATGCTTTCTGGGATTGTTGAGCATAGAACTCAGTTTGTAGACTGCCCCTGAATTCAGATGTTGAAGTTGCCATTGCAGTAGGGAGAGACTTGGTTAACTCTTTAGCTGACTGACTGTTGTATATGAGTTCCAAGGATTATAGTAATTCTGCTTTGACTACTGGGGGACTTTAAAATATTAGCTAGTGTATAGATACATGTATTTAGGTGCCTTAATTGGCAACCCAGTTGCTGTGCAGTCTGTCTTAAGAGGTGTTTTGTATAACATTAAGAATAGTGGGTTCCGTATCTTAGTGTAGAAGTTACAACAATAATGCTTACTGTTTTGTTTTTCAGCATCTTAATCTAGATAATTATAAAGCAAACTTTTCTACTCTCTTGTGGCTTGAAGAGATCCATGCAGAAATGGAGATAAAAGACTTTAACATGAGTGGGGTTACTCTGAAAAGGAATGGGAACTTGCTAGTGTTGGAAGTGCCAGGAGTAGAAGAGGGCAGACCGCCCTTGACTACAGGTAGTAATTAATGCAAGATAAAGCCAAATAGCATGTTGATCAATATTTTCAGTACATTACAAACTCTGTTGCTTATTCATTTGTTCACATAAGTCTTTCACATGTTTGAACACGCAGTTATTAATGTAGGCTACTAGACAGGTGAACTGCACTGTAGTGTCTGAGTGTGAGTCTTACAGTGGCTGCTGTCTGACACGTTGCATGTGTCTGTTCTTATGCGTGTTCCGGTGCTTTGGGATTTTATGTATAAAAATTGGTGGGCTTTCAGCAAAAATAAACCATGCAATGTAGTAATAACTTAGAAAACAAACAGGGATATCAAAAGCACAAGCTAGGAAAGTAGATAAAATTTAATTCAAAATCTCAAATAATATGATATACAAGATACTGTTTTCAGTTGTCTGATGGTGTCAATATTAGGTGCCTTTTAAAATGTAATATACAACTGCATGTGGCATTTCAGAACAGGTACTCACGGGTACAGCAACTTTGTTGAAGTTAGTTAACAGATAGCAGCCTGAAGACTCCTAGTTTAACCATGCGAAAGAGGAAGAAATTAGGTGCTGTGGTGAGAATTTTACTATTCCTTGTAACAGTATGTTGCCTTTTGAATTTGTTTACAATTAGGTGGTAAAGTGATACTGAGAAGTCAGGTCTACTCTGAGCATATAATAGAATACGTTGGCTATATTACCGAGGTAAGCAAGGTGTATCTCCTGTTGAAAATACCATGGTCCATGGTTTTCAAAGTGGAAGCTGGAAGCTAGTTTTGTTTTATTTACATTCTGAGTGGTGATTTTTTTAAATTTTTATTGTGTTTTTTAAGACTTTGGCTTCTCTATTATTTCTAGATTATAATCTTTACCTGCTCTGAAAGCACTCATAACGTAGTCTAGATATGCAATATGTAGCTAGCAGGTAAATTTGGGTGTTCTTTTTGGAGGTGATGGGAGGGGTTCAATGCTTTTAGAGATTCTTCTTTGTGTTTAAAGTATTAAACCTTCATCAGTAAACTGATTTTTTTTTTAACTTTGAAACAGATATGTAATGAAGATGTTACTCTTAAATTTAATGAAGACTTTGAACAGGCTTACAACTTGGAACCCATGGATGTGGAATTTGTTCATTGCAGGTATTTTTATAAGTTTCCAAAATGCTACATTTAATGATTCTTCTAGTAAAGTGACTTTTAAAATATACATGACAATCAATTGGTTGTTTTGGTAAATACGAATGGGAGGACATAATTAAGATCTTGACAGTTCTTTCACCTCTTAGCCTCAACACCCCTTTGCCACTACTGCACCAGTGCCAGGCAGTGAAATGGTGGGGGGGATGAGGTGAAGTGTTTTGTTTGGGTTGTTTTTCTTGGATTTTTTTTTTAAAAAAAAAAAAAAAAAAAAAAAAAACTGATATGGCTGCAAGACTAAGCAAAAAAAATGCTGATGTTAACCACCCGTCCATTTATACTTTTGTTTTATTCATGGGATGTTTTTATCTGTACAGAGTTGCTTAATCTTCTCTTTAAAATCAGCTTTTCATAGAACTTCCTTGAAAGACTGAAGTGTGGAATACCAGGCCCTCTTTGTCTCACTGAAGAGCTAGAGAATATATGTATCAATGTTATTCATAGCAAAGCTGTTGATTGACACTTCTGCAGCATATTTCTCAATAGATGGTTCTTTAAAAAAAAAAGTGAAAAGTGTTTTTATATAAAACCCCTATTTTTATATGCACTGGTGTATAGTAAAAAATACCGAATGCCTTGTAGGTGTATGCTGTTGTAGTTTATAGAAATGTAAGCTTTTACTTTAATCTACAAATTTGTACCCTAATAACAGGATTACTAGCAGGCGATGCCAGTTGGCAGTTGAGCAAGCTATCTACCTGGGTGAAAAAGGTACACTTTAGTTGACTTAAGCTGTCTAGAGGAGTTTGTTTGTGGGGAGTCTTGTGTTTTATATTGCTTTTATATCAAGGCATACTGAGAAGAGTGCGTGGTAGTTTGTTCTTAGAGGTTTTGGTAATTAAAAAAAAAAAAAAAACCTGAACCTAGAGTAGGTATCATCAGAATGATTTCATCTGTTGGCCATCACAGGGGAGAAGAGTGCAAACAAACTTTTGTGAACTGTTTGACCCAATAAGAACTGTAGAAATCTGTTGTTATAATAATAGCAAGTGAAATGGCAGTGTTTTGTGTTACCTCTGAATTTATTAAAAAAGCACTGATTTCTTCTTTTGTGGTTGAGTAGAACAATCCATATGAACTTCATACAGATCTTTACCACTTTTATGTTAGTTCAGATAAACCAGTTTTGGCAACTCTAATCAGTGAAATGTGCAAAGTATTTACGTGGCTTTCAAATTTCTCTTTCTCTTTCTCCTCTAAATTTCAAGTGTTATTTCCTGAAAGGCTTGTCTTACAATCACCCCAAGCTATCAAGACCCAGAATACTACTGAGTGTTGTGTTGTTGATGATGGCCTTGAACATAGTTTCCAGAGGGAAAGTAAGGTATCTATTCTGTAAATATTCCTTAAAATGCTGAATTACCATTCAGTTGATAACGGATACCTACTGTAGAGCTATTGTTAGAGAAGAATCTCATAGTGGAGTATCAAAGAATCAAAATTGCATTCTGCTGCTTTCTGATGGCAGAAGTTTTTGTTTGCTGCCTGGGGACAGGGCATTTTATGATAACTGTTACTATTAAGCTAGCGCTCCCACGTGAAATGGAAAGTTCTTATAAAAAACCTGTATGATTATAACTGGAATTGTTAGATTTGCCTTAGACTAGCTTTCATAGCTACTCTTGAGTAGATACTTAAGTCCTGTCACTGTGGCAGGAAATAATTTTATGATAGAAGGTAATCATCCTGTTCTGAGTAGATTTACCCAGGCTTCTTAACCGCTAATTAAATTATAATGTTAAAATGTAGAAATCTTTCTTAGAAAGGACTTCAGAAGGTTACTTAGACCTCCTTCCTATTTGAAGTAGGACTGTCACCAATGCTAAATCAAGTCAGCTTGGGAGTGGATGCAAAGTGTTTATTTCCTAGAGGTTCCACAGCCTGTATATAACCTGTGCTTCACCACCTTTTCTCTCAAATTTTTTTCTTAATTCCCAGTATGAGTCTTCCACCTGCAACTTGTGGATGAGGTCCCTTGTTATGTCATATGTCAGTAAAAAGACGAGTTTGTCTCTCGTGTTTTTTCTAACTGCAATTTAAGCCATCATGGGCTGTTAGACTACCTCTTCACCTCCTCATGGCCAGACTAAAAATCCAAGCTCTCTCAGCCTCTCTAGTTATAACAAAAACATGATTTTAGCTCATATACAAGTCTAGCATCCATAGTAACCCAGGATCCTGAAAAGGGCCTGAAGATAGCTAGTCAGCCAGTGTGTTCTTGGCCTGTCTTGGTTCACACAGTTATTCAGTCCCAGGTGTGAAGCTTTCCACTTCTCCTTACTGAATTTCGTGAGTTTTCTGTTGGCTCTGTTGCCAGGTTTCTTCTGGTTCCTCTGAACTGAAGATGCACCATCAGGCATTTGAGGTATGATTCCTGTTTTTGTGTTGTTTGCAAATTTGTTGAGGGTGTTGTTTGGTCTCATCCTAGTCATTGATGAAGTTACTGAATAATATGGGTTCCAACAGCAACCCTGGGGTTCTTAGCTTTTGACCAGCTTCTGGCTGAGTATCAAACTTTTGGTTAATACTCAGCATGGTGAATTGCATCTACCCTCACCAGTGTCTCTAAGCGGTTTGTTACTTGTCCCTTTCCTTCCCATACTGTTACTTTTCACGGGAGTCTGGAGGCCTGCATGTGAGGCAAAAAGGACATTCAGTTCTTTCCAGTATCATCGATCAATAAATTGTCTTCTCTTACCAATCTGTGAGACTCCGTGATCCTTGAACTGTCTCTCTTCCACCACAACGGTAAATCCCTTCTTATTACTCTGTTCTTGCCACACTTTAGCTCCAGATGTAGTTTGATCTCTTTGACCTTCCTGATTTTGTCCAGCTGTCCAAGCAGTGGTTTTATATTTTGCCTGGCCTTGTTTCTGCTTGTGTAAGCTTTGTATAAATTCATCATGAAGCTACAAGCTTAGCTAAGCAGGCCTTCTATTGAAATTCCTGATGATCTTGTGCAACAGGATGGTTTGTTTATGATCTCTCAATAAGCAACTTTTAGCTCTTCTGGGCACTTTTTTCCCCACGTGGTAGCTTCCCAGAGGATTTTGCATGGTGATTTCTTAGAGGAACTGAGGTTTGCTCTAGAAGGGCCAGAATTCTGACTCCACTGCTTTATCTCCTTAGCCTTCCTCCAGTCTTGCAGTCTCTGCAACAATAGCTGGTGTACAGACACATGGTCTTTCCTGTGTATGAGCAGCAAGTCTAGTAGAGTGTTATTTCTGATCAGTATGTTAACCATTTATGTTAGGAAGCTGTCACCAACTCAGTCTAGAAATTCTAGATGTTTCCTGGGTGAATTGCAACAGGTATGTGAATGATGGAAATCTCCAGGAAGCTGCATAACCTGTGACCAGGACACTAATGACAGCTGTTTGTCAGAAGTCTCATCCATGTTGTCTCCCTCCTGGTGGGGGTTTCTTACAGACTGCCAGACAATATTGCTGTTGTTCAGTCCTCCTGTGGCAACAACTCAGACGTGTCTCTGGTTTTGCAATTAATAATGTACAGTCAGGGAGCTCCTGCACATAGACCCAGATCCATTCTGGTGGGAGTAGCAGCACAGCTAGTTATTCTGCAAGATGCCTGCTCGTACTGGGGCCTTTCTGTTTGACTAGAAGGATGGTGGAGAAAATCACCTGGACCCCGTGTACTTACCCCAGAGCTATGTGGTCCTCCCCTTGATCTATTCAACATGTAACTACACCCTTTACTGCTTTCCCATGTGGGTACTAGTCAGGAGGACTAGATGAGCCTTGCAGTCTTCCAGTGGCCTTGTGTCTCTGGGGAAACAGCAAACATCTCTGTCCTGTACAAGAAGGAGTAATCAACCTCTAACACTCATCACTTCACTGGATTAGTGAAGACGATTGAGGCATCTGGTTCAGAACCACATTTCCTACACTTTTCTCCCATGCTGCAATCTGAAAGAGGTCTCATCTTGCATTCACACTCCATACCACTAAGCTAGCTTTTGGAAACAAGGAAAAGTTATTCAGCCATGGCTTCAAAATCCTCATCTGAGCCTGCAAACTATTTGTGAAATAAATGTTTAATGTTACCATAAGCCAGACGTCTAGAAATCTTAAATTTAAGGTGGGAGCTCCTAGCACCTTCTTCTACTACTACTGTGTGTTTCCATCTTTACAGTAGATATTCTGTTTAATGAGATAATGCTATTTAATGGGAAAAAATAAAGCCTAGCAACTTAAAAAGTGTTACTGGAGATAGTTGCCTGTCATCTTAAGGTTATAAATGCATTTATCCTCACTTGCTCTTTTCAGGTAAAAAAACTGCAGAACAAACAGGCAAAATGCATGGCATCAAGCAAGATGAACATAACAGATGTGATGAGAGTAGCTGTGCAAACAAGACAACTTGGTATACTTTAATACTTTATTGTTACATATTGATATTTCAGGATTGCAATCACTTCAGTAAACCAGGGCTGAGTAAGACACCTTTTGGATGTCCTTGTGCTCTGTTTTTTAAAGACAAATTCTAGAACAGTACTAGCAGGAAGTTTCGTTGGAGTTTTTCTGTGGATTACTTAAACATCTCCATACAGTCATAGAACAGTTTGGGCTGGAAGCCACCTTAAGGATCACCTAATTCTAACCCCCCTGCCATAGACAGGGACACCTTCCACTAGACCAGGTTGCTCAAAGCCCCATCCAGCCTGGCCTTGAACACCTGCAGGGATGGGGCAGCAAAAATCTAATGATCATAGAATGGGGATGATACATTTTGTGATGACATATTTTGTACTCTGTAGACTATTGTATCCCAGTCATTTACTGGAAAACTTCCAGTCATGGTCAAAGTTTACAATTTGCTACTAGGATGCTGTGTCTCATCCCTGGGATAGCTACTTTGCCAAAGACGTTGAAATTTCAGAAAAGTTTTCAGAAAGCCCAGATCTTTACTATGCTTTTCTGGAAAGTGTGACTTTAAATATCAGTGTACTTAATTACCGAAGAGGGTGATTTTATCACTTTGCAGCAATACGATGCCTAAAGAAATATGGAATGGATTACCTTACAATGCACTTCTGTCCAAGGGTTAATAAGATTCTTCTGTGGATGGCTAAAGCTAGACTAATTCGGACAGGATTAAGAAAAAAAATTCAGTAGTTATGACTTACCACTGGTCATCTAGTACTGATACTATCCTTGAAGAACCAGTTACTGAAAATTACTGAAATTTTACTATTCTAGGACAAAAAGGTGAGCTTGATGCTAAAATTACTGAATAGAGGTTTTACCACTTGTTGGGTTATGTAACTATAGTCATCTTCTGGCCTTCAATTTTATTAAATATCCAAAAGGCTTTTGAAATATTAATGGCTTATTTTCTACATGCTATTTTATGAAATCACAATTTTTGAGAAATTCATTAGTTGTTACCACATAAGGAAAATATTTTTGAAACATAATGTGAATTGGAATTGCTTTACTCTATATATGTTAAAAATATTCATGTGGAGTTTTAATATATGGTTATCTTGATTATAGTTGGTGAAACTGTGACACTTAAACAGAAAGCTGGTGAATTTTTCAATCCTATGCTGAATGAGCAACAGAAACTGGCAGTGAAAAGGATACTGAGTGGTGAATGTCGTCCAACACCTTTTATTCTCTTTGGGCCACCGGGAACTGGAAAAACATTAACAGTAGTTGAAGCTATTTTGCAGGTAATGATGGATGACAAATCAGTCATCTCTAATCTTCTCAGTGTTGGAACACTTAACAATGATTCTGTAAGAATCATCGTATTTTTTTTCCCAAGGAGTTTTCAAAATACTCTTTTTAAGGTCATAAAGAAAGAGGAAAGATCTTTATATGGATTTAACAGAATTCCTGAATGGCTTATTTTCAAGTCTTCTTGTCTTTGTCTTTAAAGCTTTAGTGAACAGTATCTAATTTCTGATTCCAGTAGTGCATAATATATTCATGAAGCACAGGTTTAGATTAATATGATAACCATGAACTCATTCTGTTGTTGGTACACTCAGTTTGAGAGTACTTAGTCAAGACTGTCAAGACTAGTGTTCTTGAACTGCAAAAAGATGGATTAATATAACATGAATTAAAAACTCTTCTGGCTTCTCTATTCAGTGAAATAAAATAGGTGTGTTTGAGCATTGCTTCTTCTTTAAATAACCTTTTTTTGATCTCTGTCTTCTTTAATGTAGATACATTATACTCTGCCAGATAGTCGAATTTTGGTTTGTGCGCCATCAAATGCTGCGACAGATCTGATTTGCTTGCGGCTTCATCAAAGCAATCTGTTAAAACCAGGAGCTATGGTCCGAGTTAATGCTAGCTTCAGGTCAGAAGAGGTAAATCTTGTAGATATCTGCCAGTTAATATTTCCAGTTTAATACTTTGATCTTAAAATACTGGTTCAGTAATGTAACTGTCAGTGGTTATTGGGCTGGTTAGGACTGAAAGTACAAACATGTTACTTCAGGTTTTCCAGAAGATTAACTGGAAAATGTTGATCATAGTCCTTAGTTCGAGTGTATGAACATAGAATATTAACCTCTCCCCTGTAGTGCTTAACTCCACAAAGCAGCACATACATACTAGTGGAATTTTTAATGTGCTAAGATGCTTTGACATACAAAGCAATCCTAAAATCTGTTACTGAAGTCAAGCCTTTGTCTCCAAATTAAGGTTACTTACACAGAAAAGTAAGCAGGTAGGACTGTCATCTTTATACAGCGCACACACACACAGATTAATGAAAATTAATGAAGAAGTCATTTCAGTGTATGAATGGGTCTAAATCTAAGTGTTTTGCTCAGCTTCTAAAAGTTTTCAGTGGGATTTTTTTATTCAAATTAAAACATTTTGTTTTAGAGCAGCATTTTGTTTTACAAAATATGTTTTTGTTTCTGCAGCAAATTGATGACAGGGTGAAACCTTACTGCAAAGACGGTGAAGATGTTCGGAAAGCTTCATGGTTCAGAATAATAATTACCACATGCAGCAGTGCAGGAATGTTTTACCAAACAGAAATACGGTAGAGTACTATAGATAGGATGCTACAAAACTCAGAGCTTTTAGATACCCTCCCTACTGTAACTTTAGCTGTTTCAATACAGTTTATTGCATGTGCCTCTGTTTTGAAATTGTCTTCCTAGCGAACTACTTGGTATTAATAATGTTTCAGCAGAGGCTTTCTCCATCGTAAATTGAAGAATTATCATGAATAATGTTAAAAAATTTTGACACAATAAATTCTCCACTGCCTTTGGGAGCCTTAAAAATTATATTGCTGTTGACAGTCATTCTGAGACAAAATTATATTGTATTTGTTTTTTATCAAGTCACTTTTACTAACTGCAAACAACCACCATGTCAAGTGCTGTTAACTAAAGATTCCTCTGATTTTTATTTTAACTTTGTAAAAGGATACTCTGAAGCCTAACTGGATTACGTTGTTTGGTAGAAATAAAGCCTGAGGATTGTCTTTGCTACACCAAGTGCATTGTTCGAATTAAGTAGCTGAAGGAAATTGAAAACAAGGAAAGCTTTTCTAAGTGTCTTAACTTTGGTATAAACAATGCTTTAATTAAGGTAACCAGTAGTTGCGTGTATTAGAGTATGTAAGTGAAATCAAAGATAATTAAATCAAATTAAAGTTACTAATCTGTTTTTTGTGTATTCAGGGTTGAAAATATCTATCCTTGTAATGTGTGTGTGGGTGGAGTTGCCTGGCACATTTGACAGAAGGTTAGCAGAATTGCTGAGGTCAACCACAGGGTGGCAGAATGAACTAATCTGAAAACAGCCCTGCTTTGGGTTTATGTTTTTTAATTTTAGGCTTGGACACTTCACTCATGTGATACTGGATGAGGCAGGGCAAGCAAGTGAACCAGAGAGCCTGATTCCTATTGGGTTGATTTCAGAAGCTAATGGACAGGTAGATCTCTTAACATCATTTACTGAAAGGAAAAAAGTTTTGGTTTACTCTTTTTGTTATTGTGAATGATGAAGAATGCAAGCAGCCATTTCTTGGTAATGAGTATGGAATTCTGAGTACTTGTAATAAACCTTATTCATGCACAATATGAATTTCCCACACTTAAATGAGTTGTTTTGCACCTAAAACAAGTCTACATTGGTAGGACAAGATTCAGTGTGTGGAAGATGTCAAAATAAAAATATGCTTTTAGTTTGAGACAACAATGTCCTGGGCCTAAGCTTCTTCATAAACAGATTAGATGTTTGGAAGAAAGCAGAATACTTGATACAAATTGACCTTTGAATTCTGAAGCGTGTATGTTGTTATTGAAACTACCCTTTTTTTAATAACTGTTTTAATACAAGATGGATTTTTCTTTAACTGCATCTGCAGATAGTTCTTGTTGGAGATCCAAAGCAGTTAGGGCCAGTAATAAAATCTAAAATTGCACTGACTTTTGGATTAAATGTGTCCTTGCTGGAAAGACTGACATCAAGAGAGATATATCTGAGAGATGAGGACACTTTCAGTGCCTGTGGAGCATATAATCCTTTGTTGGTGAGTAAAGCTACAGTTTTAATTAATTTTTTTAAATTAAATCAAAAAAAGGAGAAACTGGTTCCTGCTGTTTCCTTACAACCTTTTTTCTTTTTAGTGATAAGTCTAGCTTGAGCATTAGTTCTCTAGGAAAGCTTGATTATTTTGAATACTCTGAATAGCAAGGGTGCTGAGCCCTTCAGCATGTTAAAACCCTTCTTTGAAGGAGTTCTCTATTCTTAAGCAGAATAAGTCAAATATGGTGCACAAAGCAGAATTCTAAATAATGGCTTAAAATTCCCTTCCATCTCTATTGTCCACATTTACCATAACTTCGTAACTTAATTTTCCCCAAATGAACAATTACAACTTCTACATTTAACATAAAAAAAGACAAAGCCTCCTCTTTAAACACGAAGATTCATTTTGCAAGCATCATGTTTCAGGAAGGGAAAAAAGAAACTGTTCCTGTTTCTTTATCGCTGCTTCTTCTGAAGAATCACTTCCCAAAACTCTTGTATGATAAAGTTCCTAAAGTCTATGTTAAGTAGTAGAGGTAGCATAGTATGTAAATGAGCACAGATGTTTCAGCTTCTTTAAATTATTGAATCTGAAATACAGGGCTGAAGTTAAGCGTGCTAAGATGCCTTCCTGTTGTCATGGTAATATACTTTGATTACTAGATAACCATGTAAGCAGAGGAGGGAGGAAATCTGATGGCAGACTTAAGGGGGTGTTTGGCCCTAGCCTTTAGATTGGGTTCAGCCTACTGAAAATCCCTTCCTCCTAAAATCTGTTAACAGCAAACTTTAATTGTTGCATTCCTTATACAGTGCTTAAAGAGAATTGGCATAGTGAGAGAGCAGGAAGTGTGAGGACTTATGATACTCAAGTCCAACAGTATCCTTTATGTTAGTCTTTTAAAGGATATTGGCTTTTTGAGCTGGTTATTACTGACTCGAATGTTTCCTTAAGGCCATTCTTTAAATTAAAGTCAAATATGTTTCTGGTTTCTCAGGCCAGCTTCTATCAGCCATTCTGATGCTCCCTTTCTGCATGTTAAGACTTCCTCAAAAAAACAGGTTGCATCCCTGGAAACCCCATGAAAAGAGTCTGACTTTCTTAAAAAAAGAGAAAGTGCCTATAGATCAAATGTTCTAAGAAACTGGAGAATCACCAGTTCATCTTTCATGTACCTTCAGTTCTTTTTCTCTTTATTTTTTTTTTCTCACCCCCTTTGGAGGGGACAGAGATGATCCTTCAAAAAACTGCTTTTATTTAGTATTTACTTATAGAAGATCACACCTGCAGTTTTTGCCCTCAATACAGTTCTTCGGCAGCTTTAGAAAAGCTAAATGCTAGAGGATGGTAAGGTAGTATCTGCTTGGGAGGTGTGTACTGTGAAGTCTGAGGAATAATTATTTGTTTCACTTACGGATTTTGGTTTTTGCCTTTGCAGATCACAAAACTCGTAAAGAACTACAGGTCACATTCTGCATTGCTTGCCTTGCCATCTAAATTGTTTTATCATAAGGAGCTAGAAGTTTGTGCAGACACTTCAGTAGTAACTTCTTTGTTGCACTGGAGGAAATTGCCCAGGAAGGGATTTCCATTAATTTTTCATGGAATAAGGGTATGTAAAATGTTCGTGTAGTAAGAGGAGGAGGCCTGACCAAAGTTTGCGGATGTTTTAGATGAGTTTTCTTTAGAATGAATTCTAGAAAGGATATGAAAAAATTATAAACTTTGTTCTGCAAGTAATGTGACTTCCTGACCATCTGGTTTTAGAAACAACTACTGAAGTCAAATGTGTGCTGAGAGCTTGAGCAGCTGCCCATTGAAGTGTATTGTGGTGACATGTTGATACAAATTTAAATTCATAGCAGATTGACCAAGCTGGAGCTACAGTCAGCTGCCTTTATATTGATTTTGATGAGAGTTTGCTACATTAGAATGAATACAAGCCTCTAAAACTAGAGGATTACTAAGGCTTAGGTAGGCAGGGGAAAAAACAGTACTTTGTAAAAAACGTTTTTTCTTTAATCTTCCAAGAAGTTATTAAGAAGGAGTAATATCCACTGCTTGGAGAGGCTTGGTTTTGAACTCTTCTACCTTGCACAAAACCAAGATACCATCTTGCTAGCACATGTTATTCTGAGTTGAGATTTAACTCCTTTGTTGCATACTTAAAGTACTATTGTCATATAAATTCTCCAGCTTAAAAAAAACAATATAAAATGTTAGGTGATACTTGTTCATTGGGGCGGGAGTATAGTGAAAGAAAGAAATTGTATATAACATTTCATCACTTTTTTTGCATTTAGGATGTATAATAATCATCTATTAATAGGTACATAGTTATTTCTACACCTAGCCTTCATCATCTCATTTCCTTTCTCCTAATACAGGGCAGCGAAACACGTGAAGGTCAAAGTCCTTCATGGTTTAATCCAACTGAAGCAGTTCAAGTAATGCAGTACTGTTGCCACCTTGCTAAAAATGAAAACGCTGCAGTGTCAGTGGCTGATATGGGAGTGATTACACCCTATCGTAAACAGGTATAACTGATGTCTGAGAACTTCAAAGTTCCTGCATTTCATCTTGCGGTTTTACGTGGTGGCTGTGGCTTGTTAAGCAGGGAGTATCTCAAAACTGCACTGTTGTGTGTCATATTACACAGTGTATTATCAATTATTAATGATGTTTTCACTGAAGTATAAACCTAGGAAAAAAAATGTAATAATGGCATTGTACTTTTTCAGTTTTAAAAATCAGGAAATTATTAAGGAGACATCTGCTTGCAGTTTTGGAGACGGAAGCAGATTTTTCAGTTGTTGGGAGTAAAGAGTGCAGGTCAGGAGTTTATTATCTGACAACTGGAATAGCAATCTGCTTCTATCACTCCACACTGAGCAGTGGAACAAAAGGGAAATGTACTGAAGTAGGTGGCATGACACGTTTTTATGGCTTTGAGGAAACTAGAGGAATTGGGACTTGTTAGCTGTCCCGTAGTCAGAGTTAAAATTTGTGCTGTTATTTAAACCTGTAGGGAATGTTGAATGTCCACTTCAAATGCTGTGCTGTATTTTTAAAACTATTTATATTCAAGTCTGTAAAGTATGTGATGTCTGCTTTTATTTTAAAATAAGAAGATTAAATCTCCTTTCATTTCATGCTCTGGACAGTGTGCATATGTTTTTTTTTCTTGATGTTTGCATCTTGGTATTCATGGCCTTCTTGTGTGTGTGGGTTGGGAGAAACACTGAAGTGGGTAGAAAAGACCAGCCACGTTTGGAGAAATCTCACTTGCAAGTTAGAGCTGTGCCTGTGCTGACCCTACTGGTCAGGTGTATACACTTGCCTGTGGTTACAGTTCCTATTCATTTTGCAAGTATTTATAGTATTGATGTGACTGAACATCTTTATACTCCCTAAAACATTTCACATCATTTAATGTGATCATGGCCTTCACCTCCCTATGATGCAAGGCATGTAATAGTAATGTCCACTTCAAGAAAGTCACTTGTATGGCAGGGACACTGATGAGACAGTAGTCATTGACTGTAATCCTCAGTTTAGCCAGGCATGACTTGCTGGTAAATTTCTTGGAGCATTTAAGGTATAGTCTCCAAGCAGCTTTTAGCCAATGTAATATACTGATCCTGCACATAACAGCCTTCTAGTGTGTGAGACTCCTCGCTCTCTTTCTGTTCTGGGGAGGGTACTTAAGGTCACATCTCACCTCTCTTTCACTCTGCATTGATGCAGCTGGCAAGCAAAGGTGGAATCTGCACAGTCTTCTTGAGGGGCTGGGGGAAGCTGCTTGCCCTACCTCATCTGTAGTGAGCATGGTTTCAGATATAATGCACATTGGAAGAAGAGGATTTATGGATCTAAATTCTTCTCCTCATTAAAGTCTGGATTATTAAAAATCTGTTGATTTCTGTTTAAATGATGGTAGTGAGTACTTGACCTTCTAAGTTGTGTAATAAGTGTGATACTTATCAGAAAAAGTTTCTGTCTTATTTTAAAGCCTTACTAGTGGGTGATGGCTAAGCTTGGTGTATGCATTCCCTGTGACATCTCTGTGTTAAATCACATACTTGTGTATGTAGTATGTTTTCAGTTTTGAAGTAATTCCCTCTCAAATGTAAAAACAAATTCCTTCAAACACTTTTTTTTTTGGTAGGTGGAAAAAATTAGATTTCTTCTGAGAAGTGTTGATTTGGCAGATATCAAAGTTGGCACAGTAGAAGAGTTTCAAGGACAGGAGTACATGGCTATCATCTTATCAACCGTATGTATATTTGCTGTGGTCCTGTGGAGGGTTTTTGTATGTGTTTAATTCTCTGTTTCCTTTTTGATATAGGGCTTTTAAAAATAAAAAAAAAATTAAAAGTTATTTTTGTCAGTCTGTCACAGTACTTGAAAACAGCTTATTTTTAAGTGCATGGAAACAGTCCAGCATCTGTGATTTTGAGGTAAACCTTTGTAGATACTCATGAATTTATTTTAAAGTTTCATGTGGATTATGTACCTTTCATTTAAGTGTGCATAGGGAGAATGGAAACTGGATGCATAAATATTAGAGAGACAACTGTGTAAATCACACTAGTGGAAGGTAATTGCTATTTGGCTTACAAAAGCTAATGTGTAGGTTCTTAAGTTCTTTTTCACCTTCAGTTTGAGAATCATCACTGTAATATTATACAGCTGACAACTTCCCAGACACCAGTGCTGACTGTGCCTAGAAGCTGCATACCCTTTATCACTATTTATTTATTTTACATTGGTGGGAGAGCACTTGATAATCCTTCATGATCATCTTGATGGTGCACTTTAAGTGTTGTGCTGGTTGTATTATAGAAATGTTGGTAAAAGTCTCTTCTAGGTGATAGGTTTTTGAAACTGAAGCTATCAAATGCCTTGAAGAAGGTCTGGAAACAAAAATAAACTCCATCACTGGAGATTTTTAGATAACCATGAAAACACTGAGGTATTTAGTTTCACTCTGCAATAGATAGCTCTTTCAGAGAAGTGCTGACACAGGTCTGGAAACAAAAATAAACTCCATCACTAGAGATTTTTAGATAACCATGAAAACACAGAGGTATTTAGTTTCACTCTTTGCGATAGATGGCTCTTTCAGAAAAGTGCTGACAAAACGGAGGATTCAGGAAATGTGGGAAGATGCAGATGTTTGGGAAGATGATATTTGGATTTGTGTTGAGCCCATCCCTTGCATTTGGTAAAGGGGGAAAAGAGAGGATTGTGTCATAGAGTACTGGAAGGGAGTTGCTGTTATTTTTTGGAAGATGGCAGCCCTTGTCTTTCTTTTACAAACTTGATGACCAATGTGCTTCAGTAGATGTCTGGTTTTTTTTCTGAAAGATCTCAGTCCATGTTACCTGCAGATGACAGAAAAATATGTAGTCATAGTTTTCAGGCAGTTGACTAGAGTGTGAAAATCCTGTCTGTAGCAGTCAAGATACCAGGCTTCAGGTGACCCTGAGGCTGAGCTGAGATTAGATGCTGGTGTATGCCCATTCCTTCTCTAGATGCTAGATACTACTGCAGTGCATGAACACATTCCTGGTATTTGAATACATGTGAAAGTACCATAAGGGGCAATACTACAGTAGCTTCTTTATGTCTTACTTTTCTGTCCTTTGTTTTCCTAGGCATGTAAGATTGTTGCCTGGGGCTCTTGACAGGAGACTTTTCTTTGTGCTTCTAAGGAGAAATCAATGTGGAGTCGAGAAGTATAAGCAGCAGCTAAGTCACCTGATAGCTACTGAGGCTTTTTGCAGATGGCTTCTTGCTACCAGAATATGTGATACCAATCCTTTACGTTCTGAGACAACATCCATCAAATGTGCACTGTTGTTGGCACACTGAACTCCTGGACAGAAGTAAAAATCTGTGCTGGATCAGTGGAAAAGAGAGCAGGGAAACTTTAGAGAAAGTCTAACCTAATACTTTGAACATCAGCAAGTGATACCAGTTCAGTGTACATGGTTATGTTTGAGGGTTTAGACTTTCTTTTGGTGGGCATTGTGGGCCCTACATAGCTGAATTTCTACAGTGTGGAATCCAGAATACAAAAAAAGTCTGCATATGCTTGCTTTTTTTCCAAATGGTAATGTGGTTTTGGTGCAGTAAGCCTCTGAAGTAAAAGATTTAATTGTTTGGAATGTGGAGTTCCTGAGGTGTTTGTGACCCAGGATCCCTTAGGGGCTGTTCAAGAATGTACAGTACAGGCAGAGCTGGTATAAGTCTGAGTAATAGCATATAAGGCAAACTGATCAAAGGAGGATGTGTAGACCAGGAATGTGTAGCTGAAGATATGACCAGTACTGGGCTATTTTAACAGGAGTACATGGGATTTCCAGGAGAGAGGAAGATAAAACAGCTGTGTAAACAGCCAGAGCACTGGAAAGCAGGGTGAATGTGGGGATGGAGGAACAGTTGGTTTTTGGGAGTTCTTTTGTGGCTTAGGGGAAGAGTTTGTGGGATTTTCTTGCTTGTCTTTTTTCTTGAGAGCAGTGGTACTATGCTTACTTTCTTTGTTTTGCATCATACCATGGCTTTTCAGTCCAGCATTGTATCTCTTTTGAAGTAGTTCTAGTATGTACAATGTTCCTATTTATAAGAACTTATTATTTAGGTCACAAAAATTTTATTTTATCAAAGATGGGTTCAAATGTAGATGAAATACATAGAGGTGAAAATGCAATGAGCAGTAGTTACAGTACACTCATTACTTTGGCCGTTTTTTCTAATGTAAGTGAAAGCACACTGATGAGACCACTGATGAAGGCCTGCAGAAAGACACACTGTGAATTGTCATTCAACTGTAGGAATTAAAATACCAGCAGCTCCAGCATTTCTTCTGCTGAAAAGATTAAGTCATTGGTTTCTAGGAAGTGGTTTTGGTTATCTTGTGTTTCAAATTACAGGGGATAGTCCTGATGCTCAGATAAAACGAGTACACTGTTCTCTTGAAATTGCTGAAGTTGCATTAGCAGCCTATTGGAGAATAGACCTTCTGTGTGCAAGTCAATGGTTAGAAATAGCTAGATGAATGTTGGGTTATGAAGCTAACTTTTGCATTGCTAACACTGAGCTGTGGATTGCTGCAGTAAGGAAATATGTTGAAGTTACTCTGTGGCTCGATAAGTTATTTTCTCATTATTCTGTTCCTAAAATTATCCATAATTAATTTTAGGTGCGATCTCATGAAGACCTGTTTAGTGATGACAAACACTGTTTGGGCTTTCTCTCTAACCCAAAGAGATTTAATGTAGCAATTACTAGAGCAAAGGCTTTGCTGATTGTCGTGGGAAATCCTCATGTTCTTGTGAAAGTAAGTTTTGGATTTATATTTTTGAATTGCATGTGGTATTTACCACAGGAAATGAATTATTTGGGGGGTTAACCTGACGTGAGGGAGCATCAGATGGTGTTAAGAACTGCTATGCTGTCTGCAGCCTGCATTTGGGAATATCTGGACTCTGTAGGTTCCTATAACTATGGATAGTTCAGGCACCTGCACAGACTTCCAAGCGCAAAGGAAATTGTAACGCTGATCTGTGCATATGGGCTTCTGCCTGCTTTTTTTCCTCTATAAGAGGTCAAAACCTCAATGCTGAAAATTCTCTAGCAGCCTGCAAGTCAAGTAAGCATGTTCTGAATAACCTTATGCAATCATATTCTTCACAAAATGTAGTTGTTTTGCTCTTAAAATGGAGGGTAGTAGAAGTGATTGCTCCCAATTAATATAACAGCCTGCCGGGGAGGTGGTCTCCTTTCGAACCCGTGCACGGTCCTTCCCTCGGAGTAAGGTGAGCTTTTTGTAATATCTGATAAGAAGTTATGGCTGCCTTTCCAGATAAGAAGGAAAGCAGTATTCCAGAAATGGTCTGGACAGAAATTTTGGTCTCCCCACGCCTACGTGCAACAAATGTAACTTACAGCAGCTGTAGGTATCTTCCTCCCACGTTACAACATGCTTGCACCATTTGTAGGATTCTCTTTCTGGAAAAGGTCCTATTAAATCTCATGCATTCATGTGCCATGTTAGTTTTTGAAAATTCACTTGACAGGGCAGCATGATTTAAATTAAACATTAATCTTCTCTTGTAGGATCCCTGTTTTTGTGCACTGTTGGAATACAGTTTAACAAATAGAGTTTATGTAGGTTGTGACCTACCTTCAGAGCTGGAATGCCTGCACAAGTGAGTGTCTGGTCTTGACTCTAACCATGCTAGCTATGCCTCAGTTTACAATATTTTTAAAGCTGGTATAATTTGAAAGATTGATAAATACAACAACCTGTGATATCATAGTAGGATTTTATTTTGCATTGTTAAGTAATGTAAACATAATAACATGTAATGTAACTATATTTTCTCACACCCTATAAGAAGAATCTAAGCAGTCAATATTAAATAAGAGCTGTTGTTTTTACTGTAGGTAAACTTTACTGTAAATTAAATTTCCTGATTTAAATATATCCCATCTAGTAACTCATAATACATTGTTAAATGGGTATTATCTACTAGATTATTTTTTTAATAAAAATTGTTTTTCATCAAAAAGTAAGCAAAATTTTTATATTATTCCCTTTGACAGGCGTGACTAGTTTTTCAGTGTTCAAGATTCATTCAGTCTTCGTCTGTTTTGAAACTAAGATTACTTAACAGAAATTCAGTCCTGAACAAATCCAGCACCTTTTGTCGTTGGGGGAAGGCACATGTTCTGAAATGGTTGGAAGTTTCTCCAAACAAGATTTTTAATACTTTTTTTTAAGAAGTGAAAAAATTGAAATTTAACAGTATAAAATAGTAGTGGCAACTTATTTGCTTTCCTGTTTACAATGTGTATGACTTTATGCCTCTGCATAGAACAGTATGCCTAAATCTATAACAGTATGCCTGAATCCTCCAAGCTTTAAAAGAAAAGTACTGATGATCTCTTATGTTAGCTTTTCCTTATACAATAATTTTTTTCAGCTTCTCAGTTTTCTCAGAATTTTGTAATGCCTCCTAAAACTGGACTGTCCCAAGAACGTATGTGTCTTGTAATTTTGTTATGGGAGTGTTACAGTAATATATCCATGATGTGAACTGGAATGATACATTAATATCTCCACTTTATTGATGTTAAGTATCTTAAGCCAAGCATTCCTAAAAATCCTACTTCCCATTTTCAAGGCCTTTGTATATACAGCTGAGATCACACAGGATTTTCTTGGTTTTCCACTGTGGTCCAGCTGTCTGCTGCAGTGTATGTCTGAACAATGCCTCAAATGGTGGGTTAAAAAAAAAAAAATATAAAACCATGTTTTGCATTTCTACAAATATGCTGTAGAATAAAGTTTTGTGTTTTGACAAAATTTAAAATCACTGATGGGTTAGCAGTATTCCTGCTATCAGCTTCATTGAGCCCTGTGCTGTCCCCTTAAACAGGATTTTTTTCTCTTTTTCTTGTCCTCTCCTTGGTGATTAAGTCTCACTACACAACGCTTTAGGAATAAGTTGCACAACTGGCCACTGTATTCAGGAACTGCCAGTACAACAAGCTGGTTTCCTGCAACAGACGGAACTATTTTGAATAGGACTATAGCCTACAGAAAAACAAATGGGGGGGGGAAGATAGCAAGCTTTTGTTTGCTTGTTTACCATCCACTCACATCACTTCCAGTCCTGGTATGCACTGTACTTCTTTCCTCTGCAATGACAACATGTAGAAAGATAGTAAATGTGGTGAAACATCAACACCAGATACTATGTAAGGGTACACTGACACACAGTGTGGAGAAGCCAGAATTACCTCTCGCCCACACTACACTGTGTGAGTGTATCCAGTCTGCATCACAGCTGTATCTGAGTAGCACTCTAGACCATTCAGCCCAACCTCTTTGGCATGGGATTGTGCTGCTTAAATTGCTTTCACTCATGACGGGTCAGAATAGATGGTTTGTGTTGTTGCAGTATGATGCAGAAAATACCAGCATCAGTGATGCCATGACAATATTCTACATCAAACTCAGGAAGTTTTTAACTAAGAATCTGCCCTAGTTGTTGCCTATTGAAAGACCTCTTGCTTCAGGATTGTGTTCTGACGTACCACATCTCACAAACCCCTGTTCAGACTTGCTGCCACCCTTGCTCTTTGTCAGTGTGCTCATGCTCTCTTCAGAGAACGGTGAAGACATAGTAATGAAGATGGATGATGCTTATGGATGATGCTTACTTTATTGCAGGATATGATCCAGAACTTCTGATTACTATTTCCATGACCTCTGCATAGTTAATAGCAGAGGATTGATTGTGATACTTAATAGCTACAAGTTAATAATCTTCTAACTGTAATAGATTGCAAATTGGCATCAGTTTCTACAAGATAAAAACCTACTTGATTTTTTTTTTAACATTGTGCGTTCATTACTCAGCAAAAGTCAAATGACAAATGCCTATTATCATACAAGGTGTTTATTTTTCTAAAAGAGTTCTTAGCTTAAAGGGCAAGTACACAAAAATCTTTCATCCAACAACTAGATTTTGCCAGGGGAGAAACTCTCATACGCTTTTTCACTGATAACTATTCTTATCGTAACTCATATCATCCACAACTGAAAGGTGGAAATCTTTTCGCTGAGTTACTAATAGCCTCTGATAATCTTAAGAAGTGCTTCCAGAGAAGTGTTTATGCTTCCTTGAGATGGCTGCACAAAGGAAACTTGCACTCTTCTTATGCTGAAGAATGGAGACAAGGAGGATTTCTGTTCCTGCTGCTATTGTTATGCATTTAAAACTACTTTTTTTTTCTCTTTCACCTCATCCTCTGTGCTGCTGCTTATTAAGAACTGAGAAGCTGTACTGTGTGATATGAAATAACTTTGTCTTTCTCCTTCTCTTGCAATGTTTCTCATCTCTTTCTGCCTGCCCAGCTGCTACTGAAAACCTTGTTTGAAGAGAGACCTACTCATCAGAATTGTACAGGATTAAACAGTGTTTGCAACTTCAGAACAGTTTCTTCTAGCACCTTGATGTGCAGGCAGAGCTGCTTGCTCCAGAGGTGTTAGCTTCAATATTCTAGTCATCTCTTTCATGAAGACATATGGCCTGATGAACTGGAATGAAGAGGGGAGGAAACAGTTTGCATTCTTGCTATTGGTTGAAATCATCTTTCATTTTTACTGTGATGAAAATTTACATAAATTTATTTTGGGATATGTGAAAAAAGAGGATCAGCCACTGCATGCAGAAGTAGCAATGACAGAGTTGGTTTAGAGTCAGTCTCTTTCTTTTAGGGATAGTCAAACTAAGTCTTACTTTGCATGAAAACAATGTTCCAGTTATTCAGTTCTGTTTACAGGAACAGTCTTTTCCCAAAAAATAAAAACAACAACTCTGTCATGCTCTTTCTGATTTATTAATTCCTTGCCTTACTAAGACATTACAAAAGCCAGACTGAGGGCTTCCACCACATCTTGAGGAGCATGTTGGAGGTATGTTGAGAACACAGGAGCACTATTACAAATTTCTCCCTTTCCCCTCTTTCCTCCAAATATTGTATTAGACAGTTGTGTAATTGTATATTATTATTGCTGCCACTATTATTATTTTCATTTTACTGTCATTATTAAATTGTTCTTATCTCAACCCACGAGTATCTTCTCGCTTTACCCCCTTCAGTTCTCTACCCCATCCCCAGGACAGGGGAGGGTGAGCAAACGGCTGTGTGGTGTTCACTGCTAGCCAGCTGGGTTTAAACCCATGACACAGGCTTGAGAAAAGGGAGAGACTGAGAAAGATGTAGTCTGTAAAGCAGACACTTCCTGAGCTATTTAGTGTAAAAATTTCAACTCTTAACTGCTTAAAATACATTTGAAAGACCAGTCAAGCTATCAGAAAACCCCAGAGGTTTCCTTCCCAGAATCAAAGCATGTAGTACTCAGCTGCATATTGAACAGGTTCTGGTTGTTTTCTCAGTATGTTTCTAACAGTAGCGAAGTAGTAGTGGTCTCAACCTTACAGCAGTCCCAACAGCTGAATTCTGTGCCTTGCCAGCAGGAGTTCCCTCAATGGATGGTCTTTGCTGTTTGAAAGCAGGACCTTAACTTGTAGGTGGCTGCATTTAGATCACAAGTAAAAGTATGCACTTCTATTTTAGAATATGAAGGCTTTATTAGAGTGGCAATCCCTCATATTGCTTATTATAGTTGGTTTTAAACTGACTATTTTTAATGTTCTGAAGTTGCCCTTAAATTGCTGCTCTTCATCTGTCCACGCTGGTGCAGTGTAGGTCAGGTCACACTACATCACTGAGTGTTGCAGGAGTTGCTGGGCAAGTATTTGTATATGTTTCATTTGTTATTACTGCTTGTTACAGATTTTTTTATAAGAGCTGTTTAATTGCATGTTATGTAATAAAAGTTACATCCCTACCAACTACATAGCAACATTTTGAAGATTAAACTGTGGGCTTCTGACATGAGCCGAACTGTTCAAGTCATACCAGCTCGGCAGTCCAAGACACATGCATGGCTGGATGCTGCCTGGTGCCACACTGATCAGGCTTCACGGATATGTTATGTGGATTTTTCCAGATAACGGGGGGGTGGGAGCCTTGGTAATTCTTTCTATCCTTCATCCTCCTGAAAAATGGTCACTCTACAACTGAAGGGGAAAAAAAGTTTAGGCTGTAGTTACAACCTGTATTCAACACCTTGTGTGATTGTGTTTTTTCCATAGGACCAGTAAGGATGTTAGATCAATGTGTCAAGAAATTGATTTCAGAGTGTGTGGGCAACTGCACTCACAATTTACTGTCTTCTGCAACCTTGATTTGACAATGTTATGAAAGTTTAATAGACTTTCCTCCTTTAAAGAAAATAGCTTCAAGGTGTCAAGGCGTATTGTGCTGCACATTTTGGAGCTTAGATACCAGAATAATGAGTATTCTAAATCTTAATAAGAAACAGACTCTTTTAAAAAGCAATATTGGTTTTTTGCAAGTAACAAAAGACAACATCAGCATTCATTTGCAGATTCAGAAACAATTCATTTCTCTCAGTTTTACCAGGCTTGTTAAAATTTATATACTCTGATTATTTAAACAATTGGCTTTTTTTTTTCTTAATGGTAATGGTAAGGAAAATGCAATATGCCTCTAAGCTGTGGGGAAGGGTGTTCTTCCAGCACATGGTGAAGAGTGGGAACGTAAAATA